CCTCTCTAATAGCTCGCCTCTCTTCTCTCTTCGTGCCTTCAGAGTTCGATCAAAATACAAAAATCTCGCCCCTCACAGTCCGTTTTATCATCCGTGGCGCCTTCACACCACACAAACGTTGTTGGATCTCACCTCGGAGCTTGTCGGCGGCAAACTTTTTCCCCTCTTTCGCGGCTGCAACCTTTCTCTCCCAGTTGAACTCTGGATTTTCTAGTCTTTCGCTCTAAGTGGGATTCTAGATTTTGTTTAGAGAGAGAACGAAAGGTATACCCAGACACAAAACTTCCCAAATAGTTTTCCTAATGGTATAGGAAACCTAGTTACAGATAACCATGTCAATAAAACATCCTTGCACACCTTGGGTAAAGGGAGAAGACGTGGGCAGCAACCGGGTAATACAAAGTCCCTCTCCGATCCAGTTTCAAAAAAAAAAAAATGTCTTGCACAATGGATAAAAGTCCCTCTCCGACAGTTTCAAAAAAAAAAAAAATGTCTTGCACAATGGATAAAAGAAGAAAGTGGACGAAGTAACCAGAATTTGCACCACTCTGGTCAAATTCAAAATACACGGAATACATATTTTTGCAAAAAGGCAAGCTCCCCATTCGAACAATTTCGAACAGGTTGAAACTATACCAGAATGTGCACAAACTTCTTTTAATTCATATGAATATAAAATATTGGACGCAATAAGGCAATGTTCAAGTAGAAAGAGGCACTAAATATATATATATATAAATTAATTAATTAAATAATAATGTGTATATATACACACATATTCAGGTTGCACCTTCCCAAGGATGAATCCTTAAACCAATCAAACTCTTTGTTACAGACTGCAAAAACCTTGAAGTCTCCAAAAAGTCTCTTTACTAATAGCTACACAAGCTACTATGAGCAACCCAAATCAATAAGTCTGCTCTAAACCTATAACTTCAATTGATGAGTTGTCCTCTCCATGGATCGCCCATTCCCAATGTAAAGCTGCAAAAGTTAGTAAATTCGCCTCCTCTTTCCCAATGCAACCTCATCTTTAGAAGAGAGCAAATACGGGACAACAACAAAAAAACACAAGCAAATTCATATCAAATTGCTAACATTCTCCTCTCAACATCAACAATCCATTCTCTCTAAATGGCTTCCGGAGGAGAGGGGCACCGTGATAACACCGTTTGGCGACCAGTGAACAAGGCTCCAAACTAGATTGGTTCAAAACATAGAGCTTCAAGCTCCAACTCTAGAGCTTCAAGCTCTACTCCTACTCATCACCGCCGCCCAGTGTGTGAGTTCTTTCGAAAGATGCTCTCTATGCCTCCATGGCAATTCCAAGATCTGCTATTTGAATCCCCTTGGATCCACCACCCAATAGCTGCTTCTATAGTTGTAGAGTTGCCGGAAGATTTCCGGGGTAAAATAAGAGGACGGTACAAGGCACTAACTATTCCAGAGCTATACACAATACCACCGTCCCATACTTGGTTTTTGCTAAACCAAGAAGGCAACCTCACTCTTCAAGGATCCACCTGCCAGGCAAATCAGGTATTAATCCCACATTTTGAGAGGATCTGAATCAACATCCTCTCGCAAAGACCGACAGAGAGAGATCTTGATCACCATATCTCTATCATGTCAGCCCCATTGGAAAACCCAAATGAAGATCTGGGACTTAACATAGAGAACTTTGCAAATCTCAACATTGGAGAAGAGAATGCCTCCTGCACAGTTCAGCCAAACATTCCCCACCACACTCCGCTCAACATCCTCTTTTTCAACACTGAGGGCGTCGCTTGCCCTAACTTCCTCCAGCACTACATGCACCTACACTCTTTTGGACGCTTCGATCTTGTCATCATTACAAACACAAAAAATACAGAAAGTGAAGCCCAGTTTATGAGTAAAATCATGGGTTACTCTAACACCAAGACCATGAACCCACCTCCTAGCGGCATGGAAATGGAAAGAGTAACGGGCGGAATTTGGTGCCTATGGAATGAAGCTGAAATCTCATGTGATGTAATAGAGATCCCGTGGAATGAGGCTATCGCCCAACAAGCCCATATTTTCATCTGGCCAGTTCGTGCCATTGAAATGTATCTCTCCCTTTAATTCAAAAGAAATCAAACTTTTTTTAACTGCGTGAGTTATATTTTCGACATCTTTGTCATACATGTACAGACACTCTCATGAGAATATCTGTACAGGGGGGCATTAATGTGGGTATCTATACTATATTTGGCACGTGGCGAGCCCAACGGGCGTCACGTCAGCACCACTACACATCCACGTGGCAGACCCCTGAGTAGGGATGGCAATGGGGGGCAATGGAGTGGATATTAATTCCCCATCCCCATTCCCCTATAATAAATTTTCCCCATTCCCTATTCCCCATTCCCCATGGGTACCACCCTCCCCACTTCTTAATGGGTATGGATTTTCCCCCACCGACTTTAATCCCCATTTTTATTTTTTATATTTAATGTTAACAAACACTTTTTTTTTAAGGTTCACAACAAAAACTAAATATACCTTTAATCTTTTTTCTTTCTTTTTTAATATATTTAATGTTAACAAATTTTTTTTTTTTT